TCCTTGTAGCCCTCCCCTGGACTCTCTCCAGCAGCTCCTCATCTTTCTTGAACTGGGGAGCCCAGAACTGGACACAGTACTCCAGATGGGGCCTCACCAGGGCAGAGTAGAGGGGAAGGAGAACCTCCCTCGACCTGCTGGCCACACTCCTCCTAATGCATCCCAGATGCAGACATGATAATAACATACACACATACGCTGAGTATTGACAGCTACGTAGAAATCGTCAGCATCATCTGATGCAGCAGACTTGAGTGAGGACCATACGAGGAAAATATCCCAGTTTGACTGGCCCTGCAGGACTGCAGGGTCTTACTGGACAAACTGACAAGAAGGGTACCACTGTTCATAACAAGAAATAGCAAGGGGAATGGGCCCTGCAGACTCACCTCTCCTCCCACAGCCCAGCCCACGAGCACCTGAGAGCACAGGGCAAAATCCGGATTGGGTCCATAGCAATCGTCTATGCTGCTGGGTAACACGCTGGCGTTTCCACAGGCATAAACAAGAATATGATGAACCAAAGTTATGTTGTGGGGTGTTATTACAGGTTCAAACTGTAACGAAGAGAAAGAGTGAAAAAATGTTATCGTCAACTCTAAAGTATTTCTTTCTCAGACAACCAGAAAGAGCAGTTAACCATATCCTCCTTTTGAAATTTTGCCTTACTCCACTGCAGTGGAACATCTGGTTTTGAGCCTTCAAAACCCAAGAAGAAGGGTTGCTTTATCTTAAAGCAAAGTTATTACTGGAGAAGTAAGCTAGCCTTGCTTTGGAAAGTTCCTGTTTCTTTTCTTTGCTCTTCTTTTTTGCATACTCAGTCTTGAGAACAGGACTGCAAAAAAGGTAATTTTCCTTTTTATACAAAAACTCTTAGCAATTTCCAAGGACAAAAGCAAAAGTCCTTTCAAATATAGAGAATTCTGGAGGCTCCCTTTGCTCTCAAGGATACCAATAGGTAACATGGTCTGAACCCAGCACACTGAGACTTCAGACCTGTAGCAAGATTTCTTCAGGTGTGATGTACGTAAAAAGATACTTCTTTGTATCTTAGAGCTTATCTCCACACAAGCCAGACAAATTAGCTGGCTCATGCTAATGGCAGTGAAGGACAGATGGAATACTTCCAAATTTATAGGAAAAGGTTGTAAAAGGCAGACTTGCACAAGTGATTGAAGGAGCAAAGCTTTCCTGTCCTGTTTTTCCCCAGCAAGGCAGCCTGCAAGTTTACCTTGTAGATATGGTGTTTCTGCTTGACCCTGGGCAGTGGAATAAAGGTGCAGGCATACTTGGTTTCTTCAGCTGGGACAGCAAACTGGAAAAGAAACAGACACATGAGTCACCTGAAGGTTCCCCTGGCAACTCAGTACTGTGCGCAGGGAACTGGAGAAGCCAGAGGGAGGTGGTGCAAGGAGAATGAGACCCAGAACTGGTGGGGGCAGGAAGCATGATGCATTTAGCAAGTGGCTACTTGGTTTTTGGTAACGAGTGAGATGAGAAGATGAGATCGCATTCTTTGGCTCCACCAGGTCTTAAATCCTTTTTCTTTCTTTTTTTTTCTCTGTTTTTTGTTTTTGTTTTTTTTTTT